TAGAGAACTAGGACCCCCCCTCCCTTTCTCCCTCACGTCCCCCACCCTGCCCCCCCGTTACCAGAGGGTCCCGTTGCCGTAGTAACACCCCCCCTTTCTCCCGTGTCCCACATCTCCCCTTCTCCCTCATGTCCCACACTCCGCCCCCCGTTACCGGGGGGCCCGTTGCCGTACCAACACCCCCCGAGGTCGCCCCGCGCTCACCATGAACAGCCCCGATGCAGCGCTACAGCCAGGCCGGAAGCAGCCGGGGCGGGGCCACTTCCGCCCCTCTCCCTGTGTCACTTCCGGGTCTGCCCTCGAAACCCTTCCCCGCGCGGGGTGGGTAGGCGGGGGGCGGAACTTGCGCGCGGGGCCGTGCGGCCGGCGGAGCGCTGAGTGCGGGGCGCCGCCCCACGGGGAAGGGTCTCCCTCAGGGGCCCCCGAGCTCCCCGCGCGTCCCCCCACCCCCCGGCGGGCCGCGACCATGTTCAGCGCGAGCCAGTCGTCCCGAGCGCAGTTCCTGGACAAGGCGCGGCAGGCCCGGGAGGAGCGCCGGGGGCTGAAGGAGCGGGAGCGGGCCGCCGTGCAGATCCAGGCCCTGACCCGGCGGTTCCTGTGCCGCTGCCGGCTGCAAAGGGAGATCAGGTGTGAAAAGCCTCCCCCCGCCGCGCCCCCGGGCACGCGCCGCCTCGCCGGGGGGTTTCACCCGCTGTTTGGTTCCTCCCCCCTGTCCCCAGGAGAGAAGTGGATGACTTCTTTGTGGCCAGCGAGCCCGGGGCGAGCAAACGAAGCGCGCTGTCCGTCTTCAGGACTGCCCGGAAGTTGCTGTTTGTGTTCACGCTTCAAGAGGACAAAGAGGTGAGACGGTTGCTCTGCCCTGGGTTCATCCCTGCGAAATGTGGAGCCGGCTAGCGGGCCCAGGCCGGCGTGGACGAGCCGTCGCGCTCCCACGGGACGATCTCTGGTGCCTCGTGGCTTCGTGGAGTGAGGAGGTTTCGGGTCTTGCAGGGCAGGACTCACAGATGAGAAATCCTGCCTGCTGCGGGGCTGCGGGATGAGGTGTTTTGGTGCCTGCCTGGGACGTGGGTTAGGGGTAAGAGCTGAGTAAGCCCCTGAGCCGCCTGCACCTTTAATATTTCAGCTGATGTCTGGGAGTTTTCTTTTGGGGTCGGCCCTATTGGGCTGTATGATGGACAGGCTTTTGGTTCCAGCTGATATCTTTTATTAGGCCCTGTTGGAGGTGGGTTGATGTTGACCCGCTGCCAAGTGGGTCTGGTAAAAGATACCAATTCAAACCAAAAAAACTGCCTCAGCTGATGTTATTCTGTTTGTAAAATGAGAACAGGGGAAGTACATGCCTCCCGGGGGAACGGTGAAGGCTCATTAGGAAAAAGCCCTCTGGATATAAAAGGCCAAGAGCGATCTGATCGACTCTTGTTGCTGGCTCTTGGTTCCTTTTTCCCCAAGCAATCTCTGCTCTTTTCTATTTAAGTGCACAGCACTTAAGAGGGGTTATGTGTGTATCCTGAGTGTGCACTTGCCTGAACTCACTGTAAACAGTGCCCATTAACTACCTGAACAGGCTGTGCTAAAGTATTCACATCTCATTAAAGCTCCTAACCTGCTGTCTCCGTACAGAAATGGGCACGACCTCGGCCCTTCAGTCAGGGCTGCTTTAGAAGCTTTGAACTTCAAGTCTTCTGCTCACTTTTGTCCAATTGCATAATTAGTATGCAGTTAACCAGGCTACAGTTAAATTGCAGAGTGAACTGTGGTGTCCAGAGTTTATATGGATTTAAAGGGTTTATGCACTTCATTATCTACATGGCAGTTATCAACAAGCAAAAAATAGGGAAGGTGCTGTGTCATGCAGTGAAGCAAGTTCTGTCGTTATCCGCTATGTATGCAAGTAAAATATGCTACTTCAAATCCCCTTGTTGACTTGCGTGACTGCAAGCCTCATCGTGTAGTTTGCGTGTGTGAGGTATGTGTTTTAATCCAAACCTGTGATCTAAGTTATCCCATGTATCCAATGAAGATTTTTCTTAGCACAGTGTTGCTGGCTAGGGGAAAGATTCACCCTCTCTTGTCTCCCAGCAGAACTATGGCTTGCTGCAGATGCAGTTGCACTGACAGAAGAGTGCTTTTGTCAGTGTAGCTTGCCTTAGGTACGGTAGGCTTAGCCATGTGGGAGAAAACTCCTACTGTCAATACACACTACACCCCCGCTGAGGTGTCTGCCAATACAGCTATATTGGCACACCTAGAGTGGCAGAGGCTCTGGCACACCTACAATGGTACAAGCAAGTCCTTAAGAAATCAGCAATGAAGATTGGCAGAAACTGGCTGCTGCACTCAGGGGGGTTTGGGCTGTATTTGTGCCAGATAATTCTCAAGTGTCATTGTGGGAATAAGCTCTTATTTCTCTCTCTCTCTCTCTCTCTCTCTCTCTTTTTCTCTCTTTACAGAGGATTGAAAAGTTGTGCCGCTGTATCCTTAATAGCATGGATGTTGAGAATGAACCCAAGGTCAGCAGGTTGAATTGGGTAGGGTGGGGTTTTGAGTGAATTTTTTTTCCTTAAAGATGATTGCTGTTTAAAAAATAAGAGGGTGGGAAACATCTGGGTTAAACATTTCATCATTTAACACCATGCTGACTGACACTCGGACAAAGCTAGCAAGACAGACCTGTGAGGGTCAGAAAGGAATTTGTGCCCGTGGAACATCTTATAAGGCACAAATTGGGTTAAAGAGAAGGGAGTAACTCTGGTCCAGTGCTGGGATCAGTGTGGACGGTGGAAGTAGTTTTAATGTGCAGTTTCCTGGTTTTATTTTGGTTAAACAATGACACAGAAGAATTTGCCACCCATAACTAATCCTGCCTTCCTTGCCTGTAGGTGTGGTATGTGTCCCTAGCACTTTCTAAGGATCTTACGCTCTTGTGGATCAAACAGATCAAAGACATTCTGTGGTTTTGCTGCGAGTTTCTCAAGCAGTTGAAGGTAAGATCTTTCCTTCCTTTCAGCTATAGGTGCCTAGTGGTTCTGTGGCTTGGTGTTGGAAATTTGTCTTTTACTGCTGGGATTTTTATTGTTCCAGCCGGACATCTTACAAGACTCCAAATTGGTCAATTTGCACCTCACAATGCTGGTCACCTTCACAGACACCTCTACATGGAAAATACTTAGGGGAAAAGGTTTGTATGGCTGTTTTCAATACCCTGTACTCAAACCATGCTGCTTTCTCTTTGTTTTAAAGTCTCCCAGCTTGTTTGACTGTAGAAAGAAAGATTGTTTTTCATTTTGTTCCCTGCAGCGATCCATTATCTGTTGTGTGCTCATGGTACCTGAAAACACACAATAAAAATCCATGCTGTGGTCTGAGATTTCCCCTCATCATAATAGTGCAGTCAGTGGTTACATCTCTCTTCTAATTGCTCCATTGTGTGGATCAAAAGCTTCTTTGATGTAAAGCTGTGTTGACTTTGACCACTCTGGAATTTGGTTGAAAGTACTTGCTGCATAGTACACCTGCAAAGGTTATCTGCAAATAAGTCTTTGAGAGGCTGACATAAAGCTATTGAAAAATCTAAAGCACGTTATTAGGGGTCCATTTCACCATCTAAAACATTCTAAGAAGCTGTTAACACTGGCATACTGTACAGCATTGCAATGAGTGGAGGAATGACGAGGTCAATGAAAACTTGTTCTAATTCGCACATGCAGGTACACAAACAGAACAGTTCAGTTGTAACATTAATTACAAAGAGTACCATTTTGTCTTCACAGGAGAAACCCTGCGCCCTGCTATGAACCACATCTGTGCAAATATCATGGGACACCTCAATCAAAAGGGATTCTACTCTGTGCTGCAGGTTTGTCTGAGATTTACCTGCTTTGCCAGTTCCTGTGCTACTTTCTGCCTTTAAGTTCTTTGATTCTTCAGGTGTATTGTCCCATGCTTGGCTTAGGCACAGCGTGGCAGGGACTTGGTACTTACAGTCAGCAACACAAAAAAATTCACCCTCTCCTTGTGTCGCTCAGCAGTGTTTAAATTCCATATGATGCATACTTCATTGTGAGACAGGGCAGGCAGCATGCAAATGTTGCAACCTCTTTGAATGGGGTTTCTCTGTTCTGCTGGTCCCTTTACTAGAAAGCCTGTTGATCCAGCCCTGTGACTTGGTATTGAGCAATACCCCCTCTCTGATTCCATTTGGCATCTCTTGAAAATGACTGTGTCCTTCAAGAATGCGCTTGCGTTCTTTCTCTAACAAGTGTTACTATTTTCTTTTCAGATTTTGCTAACAAATGGCTTGGCAAGATCCAGACCATCCCTGTCCAAAGGCTCTTTAACTGCAATCTTTTCTCTTGCATTGCGGTAAGGCAACAAAAGCAGCTGGGGATGGTGTGGGACCAAAGTTGCATGTCTGTACAACTGAAGTCATCTCAGTCTGTTGGTTTCTCACTTTTCCTTTGTCTTTGGGTGCACCATATAGGCACAGAAAGCTGCTTCAGGCACAAGGCTCTATTTTTTTTTCCCACTCTGTACTCTTAACTTAAGAGCCTTTATAATTTTAGTTCTGGTCAGTCTTACAGTGCAGTGCATCAGCTCTGAGTGCTGTATCTGTGTGAAGTGGACAGGGGTGGGATGGGTCACTCCTCTCCAGTATAGTTTTCATTGCCCAAATGAATTGTAGGTATGCCTCTCCTTACACAAATGTGGGTACAGGCAGTCACCACTGCACTCCCAACACAATTGATAGATGCCAATTCTGTCCCCAAAACGAGCCAAGTCTCAGCCTATCTCAAAGCAAAGCAAGCCCAGAATCCCATCTTGGGTCTCCAAAACTTGTCTTGAATCCCAAGGAGTGACCCTAAAGTCTTTCCCAAGTCAATGTTGATAGTGGGGCTTTAGGACAGACTGACTTCTGCATTTCTGACATTCAGCCTAGCCTGAATGGTGCAGCTTCCAGTCCATGACCTCCCAGTGCTTTGCGGCACCGCCTTGCTTGGGTCACTTGATCTCTGCCTAGTAAAATGGACACTACTTACTGGCTTCCAAGTTATGTCATAATTCAGTAAATACCCACAATGCTCTTTGGAGATCTGGAGGTATTGTGTAAAAGCAACGTTATTGATGAGTAAGACTTTCTCTGTGCCCTGTGTCTGGCTTTTGTTGATTCGCTGGGGTCACGATGGCTGTTACTAAATTGTCCTGTAAGCAGAATAAGTTGTTTCTTTTAAACCTCGTCTCTTTAATGAGAATAGATCAGTTGCCCCTTGTGAAACCCGTTAGTGCAGGGTTGTCCAACCTGTTTGAATGTGGGGCCGGATCACGAACTTTTTATCACCCAGTGGGCCAGTGAGCCATATTCAAAGACCTCACAGGAAGTGGTATCACATCAGGAAGTGATGTCACATGACCTTTGACACCAATGAAGTTGCAGGAAGTGACAATGAAATGGGTCTAACCCGTTCAAAACTCTCCCTCTATAGCATCCACCTCTGCCACTGTTTGGGACAGGATATTGAGCTAGATGGACCATAAGGCTGACCAAGCATGGCACTTTTTATGCTCTTATGTTCAGAAGCTCTTATGTTCTTTGGTGGAGTTCCAAACTATGGCTGAGATTTGCGAAAAGGGGTAGATAGGCATGTTACAAAGTTGTCATAAAAGATTTGGAGCCCTCTAAATCCCATTCATTTTAATGGAAGTTGGCCTTTTGACTCAGCTTTGAAAATCTCAGCCCAAGGTGCCAACCAAATAAGTCAAAATATATTTTGTATTTCTGTGCAGTGCATCTGTGAGGCTCTCCAAGTATTTTACAAACATTAAATGAACCTCAGGATGAGCCCAGCCGGAGCAGCAGGGGCTCAGCTGCACTTTCCCCCTACCTGCGCTGGTCAGTCCCGAGTGGCACAGGGCTCCACCACCACTTCTGCCGGCTGGTGCCGACCCGGGTGGGTCTGTCCCATCTGGAGCAGCACGGAGCTGAAGCTGGCTTTCCACATGCTGCTGAGGACGGGAGGAGTCCGGCCAGGTCGGCACCAGCCAGCAGAAGTGGCGGCGGAACTGTGCGCCGCTCGGGACTGACCAGCACAGGTAGGGGGAAAGTGCAGCTGAGCCCCTGCCGCTCCAGCTGGCCTCATCCTGTCCCAAGCAGCACATGGCTACTCCTCTTCCCACACGCACCACGTTGGCAACGTGAAGCTGATGCGGTGCGTGTGGGAACCTTGTCCCTTCCCCAGCCCTTCAGCAGCCATTAGGAAGCTGTTGAGGGGCTGGGGGAGGGACAAGGGGTGGGAACAAAAGTAAACAGTGTTTACTTTTGTTTCCCGTCACAGCACCATGGGCCTCAGAAAATGCCTTGGTGGGCTGCATGGCGGCCGACAGGCCGTGTGTTGGACAAGCCTGCTTTAGTGGAATGGTTGTGCTCTGCACGGGAGATACCAGCCTCCTGGCCTCTCAAGTATTTTTCTCTCTCCAGCCCTGTGATTGCTGCTCAATTTTCTGACAATCTGCTGAGATCTTTCCTGATTCACATCATGTCAGTGCCTGCTATAATGACTCATCTTGCTACTCTAACCCCTGAGGTAAGTGGGCTATTTTCTCACAGGATCCCAAGCCCATTGAGAGTGTAACATAGGCTGTAGCTAGTCCTTGGCTGCTCTGTGTAATTAAAATTCTGTGCTCTCCATTGCTTGTTACTTAAAACTGAACAATAAGCTTTTTTCCTGCTAATATTATCTCTTTAAAATGGAAGCCTCTAATCCTTCCCACCTTCTTTATGTCCTCCTCTGCATCCATCATGCCTCTGTAGTATTCTCCTATGCACAAAAGGCTTGCCAACAATCTCAGTAGGATTTTGCAGCTCTGGGATTGGTGTTGCCCAAGGAGCTCTGAAACAGGACTGGAGCTTGTGGAATTAAGGTTGTGGGCTGGGACTTGGGAGATACGGGTTCTATCCACGACTGCTGCAGGCTCCCTGTGTGACCTTAGGCAAGGCCCTTAACTTGTCAGTGCCTCCATTCCCCATCTGTATAATGGGTAGGAAAAAAAGGAGCATTATTCTCTCTGGTTATTTAGATTCTTGGGACAAGGCCTGTGTCGCAAGGGGACCCCGATCTCGGCTGAGAGCTGTAGCTGCTGCCATGATAAAAATACTGAATACAACAGAGCTGTGTTTGTTCTGCCCTTGCAGAATTGTCTGATCCTCTCTATAGGGTTGTGTACTTAGAACCTATGCATACCACCTACCAAATAAGATACTGTGCGGAGCCTGTTCTGGGGGAACTGGTGAGATGGGAGACTGCTGTGGAAGTTCAGTTTTTTAGGCTTAGTACAATGCTTAACATGGCCAGCATTAGGTAAGTTTTGAGGAGAGTGCTTCTTAGGTATGAGACTCCAGACTTCTTGTGGCTTTTCGGTTTTGGCTTTTTATTTTGCCTTTCATTTCCCTGGTAACTTTGTGACAGGAGGGCAAGTAAACCACAAGAGACACTAATCACGCATAGGAAGAGATCTTAGCTGGGCAGTAGGTAACATACTCCCCGGTAATGCAGTGTGGTGTCTGCTGCAGGAGCATTTCAGGGAACAACAGGGTTTTTTAAAACTCTGTAGACTTGAGCAAAATGAAAGTTATCCTGGTGACTGGCTAGAAAGTGCCCAGTCATGGCAGGAGATGTTCTATGGCGGGGATTAGTTACCGATGAAGCAGGGCAGTAGATTGAGGTTACTGATGATGCATCAGATATGGTTGCTGTGCGTGACGCCCATCCGCCTAACTTGTAACTTGATTGAACGATGCCATTTTGTCTTTCAGCGCCTGGCAGTGATAGAATCTCATGGCCTTTTCCGCAAATTCATCTTGTATCTAAGTCGCGAAGCCCAATGCCGAGACGTATGCGTGTGTCTGGAAGGAAGTCACACTCTTTGCTTACTGGGTAAGCCGGGGATCTGGAATCTCAGCTCCTTCCGTGTAGAAGAGGAACTTTCCCAGAGTCTTACCCTGCTTTGAGAGGGTCTCCATAAGTTTGGAATGAAGTCAGTCCTTCTGCAGGGCTCAAGATTTCATAAAGAGTCTGGATTTTAATGTGTTCTTGGAGGAGGTTCAGGAAGGTAGTTTGTGCCAAAACAGAGCATGATCCTGGTGTGTTGATGTACGTGCTGGAAACAGGGGCCGCTGGCTTTTGGAGAAGCTGTATGACAGTCTTCAGAATGCCACATTTTGGTCTGTTCTACTGAACCACTGCAAAATGGTCACCTGTGCAAAATCTGAACCTTGCGTGGGTGTGATATCGCTGAACACTCCAGACTTCTAAACTGTTCAGGCCTTTGTTTCATTTCAAAATACCAGAACAAGTCAGGGATCTTAAGCTAAAAATGAAGTTGTTGGCTACAAAGCACCAACTCACAGGATCATCATAAAATTCTAATTTATTGGACGGATGCAAAAGTCAGGCCATAAGCCTTGGTGCTGATCCCCTCAAACACACACACATTCACGCACACACACACTAACAATAGCTAGCTCTGAAAACTAAGCACTGGTGTCAAGGTATACCTATCCCCAAGCGCTGGAGTCCACCGTCAATGACCAGTCGAGGTTTCTTTCAGTGTGATGTTGCTTCAGAAGGGGGTCACCAACGGGTCTTTCTGGCTGGACAGGCAGGGTGCTGGTCAGGTCAAAGAGGGGGCCATTGGGGGTCATTCTTCGCTACCTTTTTATCCCTCTCTGGCAGACTTTGGTGACTCCCCAATTTTTGGGCTTACCTAATCCAGGGGTCGTTGACCTCAAGGGACATCCCTCTTGGTAGCTGCTGGATGGCATCCGTCAGCCCCAGGGGTCACATCCGCACATACGTGCAGTCTCAGGAGTCCGTTGATGAATTTTGATTGATTCACTGCCGTGATGAGCTCTGGAAGTGGTTGATCTGTGGGTATTTCAGCCCCAAGGGTCTGTTTCCAGCATTGATTAGTTCAAACGGGGGCTTCCACACCTTTAACAATGAAGTTTCTGGGAATTCCTGGTTCTTTGTTGATTCTTTTTTCTCCTTGGTCTCTGATTTTGTAGGTGTTAATTGCTGCTCGTTAACATACTTATCCAGACTAGCTACTGTGTTACACAGTCAATTCATTCAGTGACCTGCTCCATACAGAGATTCCTGCTCTTGCTAACATTGTTACATGGTACAACTTACTTTTAAACATAAAGTACATTTGTAAAAGCATCTACAAGCTCTATTTTCACTACATTATTATTTTTATATAAGGTGTATTTGATATGATAAAAGAAAAAGAGAGGAAGGAAGAAAAGGTAGAAAAGAGAAAGCATCCCCAAAAGGGGGCAAATACTAAAAGAGGGGCTTTTGCCATATGGAGGAGCTTCACATTTGAAAGGGGGGCAGACAAAAGGATTTCTTCTACCAAGTCAGTGGGAAGAGGATCTAGCTCTTCACAATAACCCTTTCCTTCCATTGCTATCAAAAGCCTTCACTTAACAAGAAAGGGAGCATGAATAGCCTGATCTGAAGTACTGTGGAAACTGTTGGTAGCAAGCTGTCCAGTACTAGCAAGCAGCAGGGATGGTGATGATGGAGAGGACTAATCTCAGCCCCCTCTGTCTTCAGTGGATGCTCCATGCTCACGGTAAAGCACAGCTACCGGTTGCTTTTTTTTTGTTTTTGTTTTTTAGGCAACCTGGTTTACCTGGGCTCCTTGAATGACAAGGTGCTGGAAGAGGAGACAGCTTTCTTTGTAAGCGTACTCATTCACATGCTCTCCTACTGCCAGAAGTATGTGTCTCAAAAGAAGTCCAACCTCACGCACTGGCACCCCGTCCTGGGCTGGTTCTCCCAAACTGTGGATTATGGGTAAGCAAATGGGACCCAGGATGTGTTCTGCTCGGAGGTTTAATTTTTTCTGTAGGAGTACAGTGCCTGCAGTGCATTCCAGTTGCGCAGGATAGAGGGTAGTCATGCTCACCTTGCATTTCCCTAGCTGTGTTGTAAGGGTGCCAGGAGGCCTGGGACTACATTCATATGCCATGCATTACCTGAGATAAGTGTATTGTTGCATTCCTGTCTCTCTTCCTCCTGACTTCTTTTTCAGCTTAAATGAGTCCATGCCTCTGCTGACTAAGCAACTGCAGCACCTCTGGGGTGTCCACATGATCCGCACCCTCTTCAGTGACGTTCTCAGCAAGAAGCTGCTGGAAAATCCAGAAACAGCCCATCCATCAGTGCAGCCTGCTTCCCCTCAGAACAGCCTTCCCATGAAAAGTAGGTTCAGTTCAGTAGGCCCCTACATACATTGTTTGGGTCTTGCTTCCTTTCTTGCTGGTGGACGTTTGACTGGCTTCCCTTTGAGCAGTTCCCTGCAGCAGCTTTTCCCATGTTTGAAACCCTGCTTAGACTCTTCAGTCCCGTCACTTACTTTGGTGTCATGGAGGCACTTCAAGAGGGCCAGCTTCAATGAGTTGAGGAGATTAGTGGGAGAGGCACCGGGGTCCTGGAGAGTAGGGGAACTGGGTGCCCAAGATGAGTGGTCATTCCTTAAGGAGACGATACTCAGAGCCCAAGGGGTGACAATCCCAATGAGAAGCAAAGGGGGCAAGAGTGCCCAAAAGCCCCCCTGGCTTACCAAAGGCATTTGGGGAATGCCTGATTGCCAAAAAGGAGGCGTACACCCAGTGGAAGGGAGGGGGCTCCTCACCAAAGAGGAGTATACCTCCACCGCTTGGGTCTGTAGTGGGGCTATTAGGAAAGCTAAGGCAGATACAGAACTAGGGCAAGGATCAAGGTTAACAAAAAGTCCTTTTTTAAATACATAGGGAGCATGAAGAAGGCACTGGGTAATGTGGGGCCCCTGCAGAATATGCTTGGCAATCCGGTGGTTGTACCAGAGGAGAAAGCAGACCTCTTTAACAATTTCTTTGCCTCAATTTTCTTGTGCAGGGACTGGGACTCCCCTACCAATATTCAGGACGGACTCAGGAGAAACTCCGCCAGGCGTAGGGTCAGGGAGGACTGAGTTAGGGAACTTCTGGAGGGGCTGGACGTGTTCAAGTCAGCAGGTTCAGATGCTCTCCACCCCAGGGTGTTGAGGGAATTGGTAGGGGTTATTGCGGGGCCTCTGGCACGGCTTTACAAGCACTCATGGTGCTCTGGCAAGGTGCCGGATGACTGGAAGAGGGCCAGCGTGGTCCCCATCTTTAAAAAAGGGAAGTGGGAGGACACGGGTGGCTATAGGCCCATTAGTCTTACTTCAATCCTGGGGAAGTTCTTTGAGAAGATGATCAAGGAGCACATCTGTGATGGGCCAGCAGCAGAGATGATGCTCAAGGGCAGCCAGCACCGTTTCATTAGGAGCGGGTCCTGTTAGACCAACCTGATTGCCTTCTACAGTCAGGTCACAAAATCATTGGACGCAGGTGTTGTGGTGGACGTAGTCTTTCTGGACTTCAGGAAAGCCTTTGACACTGTCTCCCACCCCATACTCATTAAAAAGCTAAGCGACTGTGGCACTGATGCCTACACAGATGGATTGCAAATTGGCTGAGGGGCCGCACCCAGAGAGTGGTGGTGGACGGATCATATTCGACCTGGAGGGAAGTGGGCAGTGGAGTCCTCCAGGGCTTGGTCCTTGGGCCCTCACTGTTCAATGTCTTAGCAACTTGGATGACGGGGTGAAAAGCACCCTGTTTAAATTCGCAGACGACACCAAGATTTGGGGTGAAGTGGGCACACTAGAAGGGAGGGACAGATTACAGTGGGACCTGGACACATTACAGGGGTGGGCAAATATAAATAGGATGGGATTCAATACTGACAAGTGCAGGGTGCTGCACTTGGGCAGTAGGAACCAGCAGCATACCTATAGGCTGGGGAACTCCCTTCTCAAAAGCACAGTGGCAGAAAGAGATCCTGGAGTCATTATTGGCTCCAAGATGAACATGTCCGACAATGTGAGGTGTCCGTCAGTAGAGCTAACCGTACCTTGTCATGCATCCACGGATGCATCGCAAGCAGGGCCAAGAAGGTGATCCTCCCCCTCTTTGCAACACTGGTCAGGCCGCAGCTGGAGTACTGTGTCCACTTCTGGGCGTTGCACTTTAGGAGGGATGTGGCCAGCATCAAGAGGGTCCAGAGGAGGGCCACTCACGTCATCCGGGGACAGCAGGGCAGACCCTACAGGGAGAGGCTATGGGACCTTAACCTGTTCAGGCTTTGCAAGAGAAGGCTGAGGGGGGACCTGGTGACTGTCTATAAACTTACTAGGGGGGACCAATGGGGATTGGGAGAGACCTTGTTCCCCCGAGCACCTCCTGGAGTAACAAGGAATAACGGCCATAGGTTGTTAGTGAGTACATTCAGACTAGACATTAGAAGGCACTGCTTCAGTCAGGGCGGCTAGGATCTGGAACCAGCTTCCAAGGGAAGTGGTGCTGGCTCCTACCTTGGGGGTCTTTAAGAGGAGGCTTGACGTTTACCTAGCTGGGGTCATTTGAGCCCAGTTTTCTCTCCTGCCCAGGGCAGGAGGTCAGACTAGAAGATCTACAAGGTCCCTTCTGACCCTACATCTATGAATCTATAAAGCTGGTTGTGTAGCTTTAATTTTTCTTGTGGTATTTGAAGTAGAGCATAACTGGCAGCCTGTCATCATCTCAGGGTTTTGGTGTCTTACCAGGATGAGCTGGCTATCTTACTTTTGTAGGTGGAAAGGAAAATAAAACTAAGTTAACTGATTCCCAAAACTAAATTAAGGTCCCCAAGAAGTCGTGGCAGGAGGGTGGATTACAGCCCAGAAATTCCTGGTTCACAGTCCCACTGTTATCCTCCCGTCTCAAAGCCTACCATAAAGAAGTGCCAAATAGTCTAGTGCAGGGGCAGGCAGTTATTTTGGGTGGAGGGCCACTTAGTGAGTTTTGGCAAGCCATCGAGGGCCGCATGACAGGCAGCCAGGGGAAGATGAATATTAATTTTCTAAATTTTTTAGGATAGAATGGCCTGGTGGGCCACATTTTGCCCACCCCTGGTCTAGTGTGACTTAGCTGCTCTGATTCTGAGAAGGTTTTTAACTCCAGAGAAATGACTTGAATTGTGCCGCTAGAGAACTTTGCTTGTGTTTCTGGAATTGAGGCCATCCTTGTAAGACATCCAGCTATGGGGAGCTTGCTGAAACAGGCAGGTTTTGTATGTTGGTCCAGTTTGATGGCTGTTCTCGTTACCCAACCCTAATGGTTCCAGGACTTTAGGGTAAGGCAGGCTGGGAATTGACTTGCTGTCTTAGATCCATCTGCACGTGTCTTCTCCACCTTGTCTCCCGGCAGATCTGTTCAAGCGAGCCTTCCAGAAGTCTGCATCAGTACGCAACATCCTCAAGCCAGTTGGAGGCAAGCGGGTAGATTCAGTCGAGGTGCAGAAAGTGTGCAGTATCTGCGTCCTCTATCAAACCACGCTGGCGACCCTCACACAGATCCGGCTACAGATCCTCACAGGTCAGGCAGGGAATGTGGTGGGTCTTGATTCAGAGCGCCTTTCGGAATAAAGGTGGGGAGGAGGCTGGGGGGAAGCAGGAGAAAAAATGGTGCTTCTCATTAAATGCCTGTGACTTTTGCTGATGGTTTCACTCCTGGAGACAATTTATTGACTAGCTGGAAGGAAAACATATTCCATCCCAGATCAGACATTTGATTGATAAAGTTGTTTGCTTTTTTTTATCGGACATTGACACTTCTGAAGAGTAAAGCTAGATTTTCTATAGGGAAACCTTGAAAGGAAATGAACTGTGCATTGGGATCAATGTTTCTGAGAAGTGTAGTCACATGAATGCTTGTGGTGCTAACGGTAAATGTTTCTGGTACATTAAGAACAAATTACTCTCCCTACAAAGGAGGGAGGAAGAAATCGCATTTCTGACATTGTAGTTTACTACCAATGGAGGCTCATGCTTCTCTGAACCTGTTAGTCTCAAAGGTGCCACCTTGCCCTACCTACTACTTCTCTATGGGGATAGCAACGATTCTGTCACAAGTGATTTAATTAGCAGCTGAAAAACAGTTGGGAGGTGACTGCCTGAAAGGTACAGTCTACATACAAAACCTTACCTGCTTATTAAGGGGGATCTTTCCGGCTCCTAATCCCTGTGGAACTACTGTTAACAAAAGTCGAGCACCTGATCTGAAAGGGAAAACCTCATTTCTGCTAAATGAATGGTGATCTACAACCAGTCTTGCTCCTCTCTTTCTCCGTGCAGGGGAATGGGGCTGTATAAAGCCTGTCTTCCCTTTGTTTGCCACCTCCAGGCCTCACTTACCTCGATGACCTATTACCCAAGCTGTGGGCTTTTATCTGTGAGCTGGGACCCCAGGGGGGCTTGAAGCTTTTCTTGGAATGCCTGAATAATGACACGGAGGAATCCAAGAGACTGCTGGCCATGCTGATGCTGTTCTGCGACTGCTCTCGGCACCTTATCACGTAGGTGACTTTCAGGTGGCTCTGTCTACAGATTTTTAACAGGGAGGTCCTGTGTTCTGCGAAGGGGAGATGAAGCAGTGCTGCATCTACATATCAATAGCTAAGGTGAAAGAACAGCATTGGTACTTTTCAAGCACATATGGTGTGCCAGGGGTATGCAGGTAGTGGAGGAAATGACTGATCAAGTAGCAGAGCCCTCGGTATCCTGGAAATCCCATGACAAGGAATGAGTGAGGGAAGAAGGAGCCTTTCTCTGTGTGTGTGCATCAGCTTTTTGTAAATCCAGGGCACATTCTTTTCAGGCTCAAAAGATGCTTGAAGGAATGACTTTCTGCTGTAGCAGCAAGTCTGCTCCCCTGAGAGCCAGGGTGTCTGGGTTCCACCCACATCTGCATTGCTAACTGGCTGTGTGACTTCTTGTTGCATCTTATCTACATCAAAAGTTCTTCTCTCTCTAAACCAAAGAAAAGAGCACTTGCTTGCACCGTTAAGTTCTTTGTCATCCATGAGTAAAAAGTGCTAGCTTCCAGTCTGAGTTCCAATCGCAGGAAACAAGAATTCCTGCTAAATGTGCCAGAAGAGATTTGCTCTCAGGAAAACCTGTTTCAGAGGTGAAATATCTGGCTGTTATTTTCCTTCTCTAGAATTCTTGATGACATAGAAGTCTATGAAGAGCAGATCTCATTTAAACTGGAAGAGCTCATCACCATCTCCTCTTTCCTAAACTCCTTTGTATTCAAGATGATCTGGGATGGAATTGTAGGTAAGTTTTTTTTTTTTTTTTTTTTTTTTTAACAGTTTATCTGGGGGGCCCAGAGGCAAAAAAAGAAAAA